GCTCAATCTTCTACCAAATCCTGCTTGCTCGCATGGCTGTATTTCGTGTTCTGTCAATCTTGTTCAGGATGACTCGTGTAAAGAGTTTATAGACTACCAGACAACAGGCGGATTGGGCGATAATTGCCAATGTTGTGCAGGTATCCCTCCTTGTACAGAAACACAGTCCTGCTAGTTCCGCACGAGGTGGGTACCTTGCATTGCATTACACCGGTAGCGTGAGAAGAGTAGTGCCAGTTTCGCGGACCGAGAATGGGAACATTTTTCCGGGGTGTTCAGCGCATCAAGGGGCAATGGAGAAGGCAATCCACGAATCCTATTCTGCCTTCGACGTCCGGATCACACCTGAATCTCTTTGACAGCCACGTCCACCAGCCAGCGTACCGAGATAGAGACCGAACAAGATGGATACATCGGTTCTTCAGTTCTCCCTGCCAAAGTCAAGAAGCCATCTCATTGGTGAAGAACCGCGCGCCGGTCCCGACAGGATCACACCTGAACACCCTGAAAATGTTCCCCATTTCTCGCCAAAACTCTGGCACTACTCTTCTCACGCTACCGGTGTAATGCAATGCAAGGTACCCACCTCGTGGGAACTAGCAGGACTGTGTTGCTGTACAAGAAGGGAGACCTGTACGACATTGGCAATTATCGCCCAATCTGCCTGCTGTCTGTAGTCTACAAACTCTTTACACGAGTCATCCTGAACAAGGACAGAACACTAGACGAAATAAGCCATGCGAGCAAGCAGGGTTTCGAAGAGGATTCAGCACGATCGATCACATCCACACGGTAACGAAGCTCATTGAAGTATCGCGAGAGTACAAGATGCCGTTATGTCTCACGTTCATCGACTTGAAGAAAGCCTCCGACTTCCGCTGAGACAGAAGCGGTTATCGAAGCTCTGGATAACCAGGGTATTCCTACTCAGTACATCAGGATTCTTCGTGAGCTCTACAGCAACTTCACGACCAAGATCTCACCATTCTACAAGGAGATCATCATCGACGTGAAGAGAGGGGTCCGACAGGGCGACACCATCTCGCCCAAGCTCTCTCTCGAGAACGTCATGCGTCAACTGGAATGGGAAGACATGGGAGTGAAGATCGACGGTCGGCAACTACACCATCTCCGCTTTGCTGACGACATCGTTTTGATAACACCAAACATCGAGCAAGCGGAACGAATGCTGGCTGATTTCGACTGCGCGTGTGGAAAAATCGGTTTACGGCTGAATCTAACGATGTTCATGAGGAAACGGATTGGTTTCTGATGCCCCATTCACGCTCAACGGAACGACCATCTCTGAATGCTCTAGCTGATGTGTACCTGGGTCGTGAAATCAATATGATGAACGACTTAGCAGCACAGCTGATCAAAAGCGATCGGCTTGAGGAACTTTGAAGACATCGAGGGAGTAGCGAAGAAGATGAAACCATGCCCTTCTTTGCGATTCCACGGTCCTTCCTGCTTTGACTTACGCCTCAGAGACTTGGACTCTACGAAAGCAGGATGAGCATGCGGTTGGCGTTATTCAACGCGCCATCGAAAGGGCGATGCTTTCCCGCTACACGCAAGTGAGAGAGGGAATCCGGAGCTCCGCACTCCGCCGACGATCGAAGATCAGAGACGCCGCCGCATTTGCCAAGGTTTCGAAGATCAGGTGGGCCGGGCACGTCATGCGTTCTCAAGACTAGAGCGATTACCGACTGGATTTCACGGGATGTAAAGCGAACATCTGAGTGACCGCCTAAGTGTTCGATGATCAACGGGAGTAGGCAATACGGGTGATACGGAGTGATGCTCGCGACAGTGTGCGTGAACCAAACGGCTATTGCTGTGAGAACAGTTGATATCGTAGCAATCACCCGTGACGATTACAAGGGGTATGGTATAAGCTACCAGCATCGTTTCCACCACTGACTGCTTCCTCCCTGAATGAATTTCCTCCCTCTATTGCAAGGTGATCCGTCGATCGCTGACGGATCACCTTGCGATAGAGGGAGGAAACTAATTGCGGCGTTATCAGCTGCACACCATTCGTTAGAACAATATTCAGATCAGCGGCCGTAGAGTTCTAGTGCTGAAGCGTCTTGGTCACGCAATTGACGGCCGCAAAATGGGACAGCCCGTGGCGAACTGTGTTATCTGAATAAAAGGTTGCCTATCAGGTACTCCCGGAATGCGCCTTCAGTGCCTCCCAGATCGTATGGCGGTCGATGCAAGTTTCAATCACCGTTGTTGGTATGAGTATTCCTCAACGTTCTCTACCTTCCTCGGCACCGCTTTACTGTTCGTGATTTAAGACTCCTGTCTGCAGCGCTACATTTATGAATGGATGAACACTCCATTCCTGAAGATGGGAAAGCGTGGCCGTGTACCTCATCAGGAAAAGACACTAGCTGCGCTTCTGTTAGGATGCTGCCGTTTTGGGCAATTATCATGTCATTTTCCGGCACAGGATATCCGTTGTCAGAAATCCCACACAGAACGCATTATACGCCATGGTCAGTTGAGGTACACAGCCACGCCCTCCCTATCTTCAGCATATAGAGTACATGCGGAGCATGATGTTTCGCGGTATTTATCAGATGAAGATATTTCGCAGTAGGGGGCAGCGCGACAAGAGCAAGTGCAAGTTAGACGAATACCTTCCATGTAGACAACGTGATCCAATCGTAGTAAAATTGATTTTGGACATGAGTTCCCTTGTAGGTGAGAAGTTGGATGGTTCCACCGCCCACTTCCATTCCGATGAATGCCTTGCGGTCCGCCGCAAAGGCACACTGAAAAAGGTAAGGCGACGTATCTAGATAGGTTTGGCATGATAAACGTTGAATGGGCACTATGTGCTTCAGAAGGTGATACTCTACAGCGAGGTTCGCTACTTCATGCTCTGCAGATGAATGGACGCAGTGAGCGGCTAATATGTTCTGTTGGAGCCATGTTAGAACATGTCACGCTATCTCGGTGAAAGAGCGCAGACGAGCAGAGATA